CAAAGCTGAATTGATTTCTCCAGACTAATTTTCACACAGTGTGAGTCATACATTTTGGCCGTGAAGAAAGGCCAATTAAAATGTGTAAAGCCAGTTATCGCAATGTGATTACCAAAAACACTTGAGTGAACGGTGACACAAGATGGGACATGTTTACCTTTTCAGTATTTAGATAAAACCACAATCCATGTTCGGCTGTTTTTGCAGCTTCTTGAATGTGAGCCACTTACGTTTTTTTTCCCTGAGAGCAGCACACAATAACAGTCATTTAATGGTCTCTTTAAAAAAAAGCATTGCATATTTACTGGCATAAACATGTCCATTGCTACATATCCTTCTTTTCTTTACCACTTCAACATTCTAGGCTGATTATATTTGTCGGAACTGTGTAGCAAGTGCTAAAACACGTTTACGCCTCAGAGCTGCAGAAGGTGGTGAACACAGAAGATAATTGGAGTTGGTATGGGATTCACAGCTCATTGCAAGTCTTACACAGGTTAGACTCCCAGCAGGGAAAGGTGAACAGCACACCAGAAGCGAAGCGAGAGAGGATAATTGACAACCCGAGAGCAAGATGGATTAGTAATTAAGACATTAATCAAATCTTTGACTAATCATTACAATGAACAGAATGGGAAGTTCAGAAGAGCCAGGTCGAATGGATGCACTTCCTCCAGGAAGTGGTCTGTGTCATCACCACACCAGCTAATCAGAATGTTATCTCTGGTCTGCTGTGGACTGTCAAAAACAAGACAACATAACATATATCACACGCAACATTTCTGCACATTAATTGGGGAAACGGCTCTCTCGCAAAACAGATCTTGTCAGGCGCACTAAATCAAACTTGTCAAACCAGTCAGCTAATGTAGGTAAACGAAATGTGCACGTCACGTTGTAGCCAAGTACGAACACTGGACAATGAGCCACTGTGCAGAAATAATCTGAAATGTCATTTTCCGGGACTCAGCAACTTGTTTGGATCATTGTACGCTCAGATATATCATTAATTGGGTTTTGTAATATGTTTAGGGAAGGAAAAAATGTAGCTTTCAAACTGAGCAGCAGATATGTAGTTTGATTAACCCAATAATTCAATGACGTGCAAAGAAAAAGGCTTGTACATCGGCTGCAAAACCACAACAGATCAACTGACTGAAATACGCCGTCGAAAGAAAAATATTCATTGAGTTAAACCAAATTAAAACTAAATGATGCCATTATTAAAATGTGATCTAATAACTAAATGTTTAGAATTTAATGAACTCATTAATTTAAGATAAAAGGCTGCATTAATATTCTATCAGATATTAGACACAACCTTCCTGCCATTATCAGAGAACCAGACAATGTCGTTATTTAACGTCTAGACTCATTTAGCCCAGTCTGCTGTACATCCTACCTTAACTGCCATCCTATCAGCCTTTCCTATCATTTTCCTCATTTCCTGTCATTCTCATCATTTTCTCACTACTTAAGCCCTGCTATTGGCTGCTTCTCCCCACTGCTCCTGTTCCACTGAGACACTCACATATGAGCAAAGAAGACATTTCTGTTTGTTCGTGACATGCTCGTTCTTCCTGTTGTTTTATTTATTTTTTTATTCTTCTTCTCTTCATATGGAACCCTGCTGTGACAATCCTACAGTATTCACTGAAAGTGTTCAGTAATTAACCTCAACTTGAAAACATTAGACACACATTTAGTTATGGCATATAGGACAGTGATTTTTACACCATTAAACACAGATTGTTTAACCCAATTCATTTCCATTTATAGGGCTCTGCACTACATGTGGCAGAAAAGATCAGGTATATAAGAATCACGATATACAAGAATATTCATAACTGTTGTATTCATATATGTTGTTTATATGCAACAACTTAGATGACTCTATTAAATGTAACCTGATTTGACTCCATAAAACTTCTTCACCTCAGTGATAGAGGAAAAGCCTAACTGTAGCAGTAGTGAAGCTTCCAGTACGTGAAATACTGACATGTGTCTGCAGAGAGCACAAGTAACCGCACCATCAAAAAAACATAATTATCTTGGGATGTCTGGTAGCCAAGTTGCATGTGAGGTTTAACCTAGTCTCACACTGGATAAAATGTCTGGATGAAACCATTATCGTTCTGGTATAGGGGGAAAAACATTTCTGAGTGCAGCTCAGAGGTTGTTGTCTTCGCGTCAGGGACTTTGAAAACCACTTGACTGCGGACTACAATAGTGGGCCAATGGCAGGCTTATTCCAGATTACTTCCTGTGAGTCAGAATAGGATGAACCAAAGCAGTATGCTGTGGGCCAGAAAACCAAAACAATTAGCTGAAAGACACTGCAACACAGGAACTGAGAGCAACTGCATGATAATTGATTGTAGCAGGTTTAAGTAGTACATTTTTTAAATAAAAAAAACGGATGAATTAATAATTAAATAATTTTGCGGCCCTACAATTACATTGTATTGCTATTAACAGTGAATTGTTTTTATCTTTTTGTCAGATACAGGATTTCATTATATTTAGGTAATTTCCAATATAAATACAAATAGTTAATAGATTTTGGATACATTTAAAAGTTGTAGAATTGTTTGATCTGTATGTAGGGGTGTCTTGATGCCAAAAGACATGTACAACTTATCTCCAATGGCCCACTTCCAATCCCTCAAGGAACTGTTGTGGCAGGCAATTTGCCCCACATAAGCTGAGTCTCTATCCTATGCTTTCTAATAAAGGCAGGATGCCAAAAATATGCACAGGCATACAAAAAATCGGCGTTTTATTTGTAAAGAGTGATTCTGTACTCATGAATCTATTTGTAACACTGTCATTCAGGTGCCATGAATGTGTTTTAAAGTGCCATTTAAATTACAGTTTGCTACAGTAAATCTATTCATGATCGTCAATGCTATTAAAAAAGACATTTGAAAACTAGTGTTGGGTAGAAGCTCTGCTCTGTCTCCTCTGTCAAGGAGAAATCAATCACTCAGTCCCTGGAGGAACACCAGCTGGCATTTGAACTGATTGTGCCATTTGGCCTTGTGTGGAGATTGACTACGCTTTTCCTCATTCCTGTCTTTTAATCTTCAAATTAATTCCCTGTGTTTACAGAAGATTTCTCTCCAAGGGGAACAAACAAATGATGGCTTCGCCCAGATGGGCCAAGCACACTTTTATCTATTTATTCATCATTGGAGGTTTTACACTGATTGGGATGAGATTTGGCAGTGTTGTTGGTTCTCGTAAAGAAAGGGCAAGAAGAATAAAGTGCAAAGACTGTGTATAACTGTGGTAATGGAGATTTAAATGGTCTAGTCTTTCTCTGTGAGCTTATAACAAACTTTCTTGTAGTGTTGCTGGAAAGTTTTGGTGAAAGATACACAGGAACACGGAACGATAAATCACCATATAGCATGTGTCCTAGTGCCTGTATGTGTTCATCAGTCTCTTTCTTTTGGCCTGGAGAGTCCTTTGTTGCCTGCACTGGGCTAATTCATGAACAAAATCAATGTGGTATAAATAGCATAGATTTTTTTGTGTTTTTTTTTATTAGATGTGTAGAAGTTGTAGACAAAACTGAACAGAGAATGTAATTAAATGAGGAACAAAACTCAATAGGTAGGAAAAAGAAGACAGTGGTTGAGGGAAACGAGTTTGTCACACTCTAGCTTTTATCTGTCTGTGAAGCTCTCCGCGGGCTTTATTAACAGCACTGTTGCCAGCACAGATGCAGTGTGATTACTTTTTTCATGGTACTGTAGGTATGCAGGCCGCCAGGAGGTCAATCACATCAATTAACAGACGTCCATCCTGCGCTGTTTAGAGGTGCCCTGTTGATGTGCTGAGTGGAAGCTGTACACCTCTCCTGCTGAGGATGCTGGCTTCCTGTTGTTAAAGCCACTGAGAAATGGCTTTATGAGTTTTGTCGCAAAGGGAAAAGCCAGTTACAGCTCACTGGTGAGCAGTACAGTAGGCAAACCCTTTCACCGTATGAGCAAAAGCACAAAGAGGATGAAAGAGGGACACATACTGCGTGCTTTTATTGATCACCGATAATGTGTACTGCTGCGTGAGATACAGACAGCTTACCTGTCTCACTCTGTTAAGACGGCTGATTTCAGTCTGCACAGCCGCTGTACGCAGCTGATGAGGAAGTCTGTTGCTAGGACACCAAGTCCTATTGAATGAATAATGTGAAATAAATTCCTTTTGACTGGCTACTTCCTGCATTCATTTTATTTTATTTTCGTGTCATGTGTTGGTGACAACACAGAAAGACTTTGTTGCATATTAATAAAACATGAAACAGATGTATTACAAGGTTTCTCATTTGTTGTCATTTGTGTCTCAGTCCATGGTTAGGCTTTGAAAGATAAACACTGCATTGTTAGCAGAGTAGCAATTACATGATGCAGGAATACATCATTTTGAAAATACAATATATTTGACAATAACCAGATGGTTTGTTAAGACAAAACCATATGGGAAGTTGTTGGTGGAAAATGTACTGGAAGGGCAGGCACTCTCAAAACATACTGTCTATCACTGTCTGTCATGGGTGAACTTCAACCAATGAGGTCAACGAATCATATAACATAGTCAAACTTTTACTGAAGCCAGTCGGGAGAACAGTGTATAGAAGAAATCCTCTCCAGTTCTGAGAAAAACTTATTTTTTTCCTCATGGAAGCAGGAGAAGAACAGGTATAACTAATAACAGTGGCTCCATCCCATTAAGTGTCCCAGTAAGTCAGTGACTGAGCATGGCTTACCTCTACATTTGTAAATTACTCTGCACTTTACTACTTTGCACTTCTGGTTGATGCTAACTGCATTTCGTTGTTTTGTACCTGTACTTGCGATGACAATAAAGTTCAATGAAATCAAATTAAATGGTCAAATGTGAAAAGGGTTTAATAGGTTGGATTTCCTCTATATAACCAGTGCCATGTTCCATCTCTGTAAACTCTTGCCAACTAATCTGCACTCTCTTCCCCTCAGGAGTACACCATCGATGTCTTCTTCCGTCAGAGCTGGAGGGACGAGAGGCTGAAGTTTGACGGGCCTATGCAAGTTTTACCCCTCAACAACCTCCTGGCCAGTAAGATCTGGACTCCTGATACCTTTTTCCACAACGGAAAGAAATCTGTGGCCCACAACATGACGACTCCTAACAAACTGCTACGACTAGTCGACAACGGTACGCTTCTCTACACGATGAGGTGAGCCACTTATGAAATTCCTCCCCAGTCAATGCTGACATTTTGTTGTGTTGAATATTGTACTTTAACTAGAGTAAGAGTCTACAGCTGGTTCTTTGTACTAAATGCACAAAGCATGCAAACTAGCTCACAGTGATAATGCTAACATGCTGATGTTCAGCCAGTATAATTTTAGCCATGTTCACCATCTTAGTTTAGTGTGTTAGAATGCTAATATTTGCTAATAAGGACTTAACCCCAAGTACGGCTGAGGCTGGCAGGCATCAGTGTTCCGTACATGTAAAAATGAATTTCTAACACAGACTTTTCCATCTGAATTGACTTCATTGAATCACCATGGTCACTGACCAAATCAGAAGCTTTTAGCAGCGGAGCTCCTCACTGTCAGCTCAGCTGTGATTCACAGTATGTTACTGTCTGGTTAAAAGCTTGGTGAGAGGCCAAACACCACCGAAACAATAATGATGTTATATGGTGCAAATAGTTGGCTGGGGGGCCATTAACCTTATAAACAGTGCTTGTATAAGCCTAGCTGTGCACTGAAATTAACACAAGAGCTTGAACTACAGTTCAACTTAAGTTACTATTGAAGTAATGGCAGTCAGAAGCACCCGTGCCAAGCGTAGCAATGTAGCAAAAGGTGATGCATTGAACATGGATAGCTTAGAAAGAAAGTCAACGAACTACACAGTCAATGAAAATGAGATTTTGACCTGCTGATGGTGCTGGATTTAAAGTCAGAGGATGACCAAAGTCCATCCTGAATACCTGCAGCAAAGTATAATGGCAATTCATCCCATAGTTGTTGAGACACTTAAAACCATGTAAGTCAGTGTCATGGTGGTGCTAGATGAACAGTCAAGGGATTAAACTAAAGTTGTGGGGAGCTGATCAAAGGTAGGCATTGTGCGGATGTTAATGTAAATAGCATCAACTACCAAGACAGTCACACTCAGTTATCATTATTTACAGTACTGAAAAAAATAATATATAATAATCATTCAGTCCATCTAATCATTGAATCTGTCAATCAGCCTTCCCTTCAGCTTTGCATCAAAGCCATGAATCACTTGAAAAGAAATATTTTGATGATGCTTGTCCATAAGGTCAGTATTGATTTCCAAGGGTGAAAATGAAATAGTGAAAGAAGTTTATTTTGTAGTCCCGCATGAGTAGATTTGATGCAGCTGCAGTTCTGCCAAGGCCAATAAAGACATCTGAGCTCTAATGGAGTATTACAAATTCTGTGTGTAAATGTGTGGTAAGATGATGAAGAAGTATGATGAAGCAAAGTATGATAAACCTCTGTCACCACATTTGTATTCATGTTCAAGCTACCAATTCAAACTTAATTTCTGGAGTCTTGCATTTGCAGTGGGGTTTATTCAGAACCTGTAGTTTATTCATGGTATTTAAAGTCTTCTTTTTGGCCATTTCTATTTTAACTAACAGCAGGACAATGTCATAAGAAATTATTGTGTTTTTTATTGAGTATTAGACCAAAGAAGTCTTCAAATCATGGGCCACCTTACCTTCATAATGGAGCATTGGCTGTTTAGTTGAAGGGGATCTAAATGACTAAACTTTGGCTGTATTGTTAACACACGAATGAAGAGACTGATAACTTAAATTTGCCTGAGCACACTTGACAGGTATTAGGCTTTAGAAAATAAATCCATCTATTTTTAAAGAAAGTTTAGTCTGAAGTACATTACAGTGGTACCTTGTGTTGATTTACACTTAAATCCCTTTAATCAGCACGTCTACAGCATCTGAGCTGACAAATGCTGCGAAGGCCTCCGCTCTGCAGGATTGCGTCATTATTTTGAATTGAGGGAGCTGGTATTGTCTGCCTGTGCTGCTGCAGTCTCGTTTTTGTGTGAGAGCGTTTATCACTCACTCTCAGTTCACCTCAATTTAGCTCAAACTCTATGTGGCTACTAAAGCAATTATGTTTCCCTGATAGAGAATATTAAAATTTTAAATGTACTCATCAAAGGCAGTATTGGATATTTGTGGTTCAAACTTGCAATAATTTATTTATTTATTTGTATTTATGTATTTTTAAATCCCTGAATTGGACTTCACAGCTTATGAATCACCAAAAACAAATACAACTGTGCAGCCATATTTGGGGATATCCATTCAGAGTGAAAAGTGAAAGTATTTTCCAAAAAAAATCAGGATCCACTGGAGCAATGATGCACGACTAAACACTCACTGCTGTGCAAGTACAGTTGGTGCAATGCTGCCCTAAAGTTATAAAACTTATAAAAAATTGTTGGATTTTGAACATATGTTATATTTAGGATATAGAAAACTAACTAAATAAATAAATAAATACTATCTGTACTGTATAATCCACACAATATCTTGCCTTTTAGCCATGCTAGTGGCATAGCGGGTGCCAATATTAGTCAGTATACCACTTTGGTCCAGAATGAGAAAGCGCAACAATTATTGGATGGATGGCTGTGACATTTTGTATAGACATTCATGGTCCCCAGAATGAATCTTACAGACTTTGGTGATCCCCCCACTTTTCATCTAGCAGCACCAACTGAAATCCAACACTTGGTTTTTAGCTCAGTGTTTCAGCAACTATTCCAGAAATTACTATGAAATTTGGTAAAGACATTCATGTCCTCCTCAGGATGAATTCAAATAATTAGCTTATCGCATAACTTTTTATCTAACCTCACCATAAGGTAAAAACTACTGAGCTGTACTTTGTGTATAGTGCTCAGTAGCGAATGTTAGGTAGGATGATAAACATGGTAAAAATGATCCCTGCTAAAAATGAGCATGCTAGCATTGACATTGAGCACGCTGCCTATAAGTATATCCTCACAGGCCGCTAACATTGGTGTAGACCCTTGGTCTTGCTATATACTTAATATGAACTTTTTCCATTGCACAAAGACAACTTGCTTTGTTGTCTTTGATCAAAGTAATTCTAATTGTGTTGTCTGTAATCTTTTATTTTATTTTATTTATTTATTTTATGTTTTGGTTTAGTTTCTGTCAGAACTGTTAGAACAGCTAAGGAATGACATTAATTTCGTCGATTATTTGCCGGTTTAAGTGCTGTATGATATGCAGCGTGTATTGCTCACATTTGATTTATGTTGTATTGCATTCATTGTCGTAGTTACTGAGCCACTTATCTGTAATGAGGCAGCACCAGAGAGCAGCCAAGAGGGTGTAATAAAATGGATCACAGAGTTGTTGCAAGTGCAAAACAAGGAGCTAATTAGGAACAATAAGTTTGTCTGTAGAAGTGGCCCATAATAGTAGTTTTAATACTGGGGCTGCAACAAACTTCATAAATGGAACATCCTGCAACATGAACCCGTGTTGACAATGGTGAGACCAAATGAATCTACTCACAAAACTACTTATCATTCATAGAGTATACACGTTTACATGTCAAATCTGTACACGCTACCAGGGTATACGACAAATAAAATAGAAAAATACAAGCATGAAACTGTAGAAATAATCAAGTTATAGTCACAGCTGACATATGAGAATTACACATACACTAACTACATTTATTTGCTCAGATATTCTGTTCCTATCCCGGTTGCTAAAATAACCCAATTTTGGATTGATGCATGGACTATAAATGTTGTAATTGAGTTACGATAACCCAGTTTGTGGTCCATTTTATGAGTAACTCAGTCCACTGTAGGACAGTTTTATGGGTTGCTGTTTTGTTTGAACTCAGCAAATGTAATCCCCATGATGATTAAACATGTATGAGTGAGATAATATGCACCATTTCTCTATTTACTTACAGAGTGTGTTTCGTGGCTCGGCCATCTGACCAAATGAAATAAACTCTGGTGCTCTCTGGAGATTTTTTCTTTGTTGTCAGTCAGCCGAGCTCTCATTAGCACTGGTGGCTACATGAGGGAGGAGAGAGTGCAATGTCTGCCCTCCCTCCCGTTTTTCTTCAAATGTACAGACTGTGGATTTAAAATGACTTGAGTACTCTGATACGCAAGCAGTCAGTGTGTCGTGTAAAAAACAATACATTGGTTTTCTTCTTTAAAGTGCACTCTGCGTTTTATGTCTTGTGATATAGGTAGGATGTATTTGTAACAGCCGCCTCATACATACCGCAGTCTGACCAGTGAGGTATTGTCTCTCCCCGTCTCTCTCTGCCCCCCACTCAGGTTGACCATTCATGCCGAGTGCCCCATGCACCTTGAGGATTTCCCGATGGATGCGCACGCCTGTCCCCTGAAATTTGGAAGTTGTAAGTCAGTCCAGATGGTCACAACAAAACAGAGTTTGATGTCAAATTGCACTGCAGAAAAAGTAATGATTGTTCTCTGCGAGTGTTAGCAACTGGAAAAACATCAGAGGACTCAAACTTCACTCACCACTATAGATATGATACAATGGGATAACTGTCATAAGTTTTTCTTTAAGCAACCTAGCAAAAGGAGTCAACCACTGGCTTGAAGTAAGAGTTGTGTAACATGCTTACAAAGACAATAGTAACATACTGATGCTTAGCAGGTAATATTTACCATGCTCGCCATCTTAATGTAGCGTGTTAGCATGCGAACAATTGGTAACTGCTAACCGTAAACACAAAGTACACCTGAGGCTGATTGTAATGTCATCAGTTTTACAGAAGTATTGGACAAATTAAATTTTTGACCTTACGGCGCTAAAGAAAAACTTAAAGTAATCACAAAATACATCATCTGCACCATGAAAGTTTTTACCAAATCGGTTCTACAGTGTGGACAGATAAGAGAATAACATAAAAAAGACGCCTTGTTGATTCCTAATCCATGTTTTCTACTGTTTATTTCCCTTTTCCCTTTTCCCCAGATGCCTACACCAATAACGAGGTGATCTACCTGTGGACCCAGGGAGATGAGAGGTCCGTTGCTGTTGCAGAGGATGGCTCCAGGCTGAACCAGTATGACCTACTGGGACACGTTATTGGCAAAGAAACCATCAGCTCCAGCACAGGTACACTACATGCCAGCCCAGACAGCAGATTTGACAGATTTTGCGGACATACCGAATATTTTGATGGAGGATACTGCAAGCAGTTAAACAAAATTAGTGGGATGAAACTCCTACCTTTGAAACATAAACTGTTATTAGGTTTTCTGCATAACATTGGAAGTAAATTAACTTGCCATCCTACTTTTCTGTTGACATACACTGGCACTCTTTTGTGTGTTTTCGTAAAGTAACAGTCTGCACTTTTCTCCAGTTTCTGTCATTTTGGATTCAGCTTCAATTATTTTGGTCCAGAGAGAAAATGATGACTGACTCGGTTTGGGGGGGAACTATTCAGCATATTTACAAAGATAATATGAAGAGGTGTGCCAGAGGTGAAAGTCTTATTCCCATTCTGTTTTCGGGCTATAGCCCAGAGTCAACTTGAATAAGCATTACATTAAAACAAAGTCTGCGAGCCCATAGTGTTGATTACATATTCATTTGATGGTCAAAACTGTTGCCGAAACCTTTTATCTGTCACACACAATCAAATCAGTTTTTCCATATTTCCCCACTGGGAGACTTAAAGCTTATGGTAGCACTTTAACATAAAGGGAAAAAATAACAAGGCAAGGGCTGGGTACTGATACACGCTGCAACAGGAGCAGCAATTACATGCTAATGTTATATTTAGAGTTCAACCACCTCAGACGAAGTGCTGTTAAAATAGTTATAATTTACAAGAAATTGTAATTTGCCACGTCATTTTTATAGAAGCAAATAACATCAGCATAGCAATTTTAACATCAATCACCAGCTTTAGGTAACAGTGCAAGAAGACTGGATGAAGTGCTGATGTTCTGATTACTGCAAAGCTATAGATAAAAGGTTGCTTCAGTGGGGCAGTTGGTAATTACTGAAAGAGCGCATAGCTTACGACTGAGCCACAGTGGCTTTCCAGTTTGAGAGGTGTAACCTCTGCAGTGGAGCCGTTTGCTCTCAGGAGGTGAGCTACCGAGTCGCAGAGATCTGTCAGACTTCACTTGCGTTTGGAGACTAAACCGCTATGAAACCTCTTTGTTGCATGGCACTGTTTTCCTAGGAAACAAAAAGTGTGTTGAAAGCTGTTAAAATAATAGCACGCATAGAACTCTACAGAGGACACTTTCCTTGAGCTGTCTTTATTATTGTGCTGTTCAGTGGTTTAACCTTAAGTCAAGTAAATTGCAGAGGTATTTTGAACTAAAGTCTGGAAAGAAGTGCAAAAATCCAAGGTGGAGTCAACATGATTGCTTTCATAAACTAGTTCAGCTTGTGGATGTTAAAATGTTTTTTTCAAACTTTAAGTCTAATGGGCTACAGTGAGCGGAGGGAATGGAAGGATTTGAGCCAGTTCAGCTCTGGTTAGACTGCTCAGAAAAAACACCTCGGGGAATGAGAGGCTGTTTTTCTCATATCTTTGCAACACAGATTACAGACATGGCAATGAGAGCTGGTGCTTAGGGGAACTGTGAATTTGTCCATTTGCTGCCGTCAGTGACAAAACCGAAGCTGATGGAAATGTTCAATATCACGGGTTGGAATGACGCAGGCGGATGTTCATCACACCTCTGTATTTAAAGGAATACTCCACTGAAAATCTATATCTTGAGATTTAAAGGTCCAAAAATGGCTGCAATCTACAACTTCCCTGCTATACCACTACATTCTACACACTGGTCCTTTGAAGGCTTGGCATTAGCTTGACAGGTGGCTCTGAGAACAGTGTTCTTAGTGTACTGTAGTTGTAGTCAGGGTTTTGAAAGTTAATTTTCATATGTGAAGGATGGTCATTTAAATGCTCACATTTGTGCTGTGTGCAGTTTTCAGGGGCTCTATTCATTCTGGCCTAACATATTATTTTCTTATTTCCTTATGGCACTAGGCTGATGAGCAGGAACAGCTAAATGTAGCAGTTTATTTTAAAATGAATTTTATGTATCACTTTTATATGCAGTATAGCCACTATTCCCAAACTGGGGTAAAAAGGAAAAAATGGGTACGTAGCTGGAGGTTGAATGTCTGAAGGGGTATGGGACTACAATACGTTTGTGAAACAGTGCAATATAGCAATGATACTGCCAAAATTAAAGTCAGAAAGACTTGTATATATATGTCAAATCGGCACCCGGGGTATAAAAAGTACCAGGTATCAAATCGGGAGATAAGCATATCGTGCTAGTCCTAAAATTTCACAGTTTTTATCGCCATATTTTACACCAGCATTGTAAATCTCTGACTATGATGATGTTCAGAGAGATTTGTTGGAATCTTGAAAGGAGTGACTTTATGCAACCTCATTTTCAAGACCTTTTTCAAGTTCCTTTTTTCGATTAACATTTGGCCCTCAACTCAAGGTTTCCTCTGACACACTACTGCCAAATAGTCTTCTAGTGTGTGAGGAATAGCACAAGGGCTGCATTACCATGACCCTCTAACTCCTTCCACAGAAACAACAATTGTATCATTAAATCTGCACCACACATTGGAGTCAGTGATGTCTTCTGTCATTTCATTTGTTTCTGCTCTTTAATAATCTTTAATAATTCCTCTTCTGTGCTTTTCTATACACATCCTTCTAGTCCTAGTTTAAACTGAAGTGAAACTGAGGTCAGCTTTGTGACTTTATTTTGATTTATTTACACAAAGTGCACATCACAAGCTCTTTGGAATACTTTTAAGCACATGACATCTTTTAACTGACATTTTCTATGTTTTCATATTATTTAATGGATAATCTAAGGGACTGAAGACAATCCTATGAGCTGCTTTGATGAAGCGAGCGTACATGTTAATGTTCTAACTTTAATAAATGTTACTTTGAATATTTCAGCTTGTGTTGCTCCCAACTGGGCATTGCTGTATTAATACTTATAACCCTGTGTGTCTCTCTCTATGTTTCTCTCCTCTCCCTCAGGAGAATATGTGGTGATGACAACATATTTCCATTTGAAAAGGAAAATTGGCTATTTTGTGATTCAAACCTACCTCCCGTGCATCATGACTGTCATACTGTCTCAAGTCTCCTTCTGGCTAAACCGAGAATCGGTTCCTGCTCGCACTGTATTTGGTGAGTGGCATCTTGTGTTTTTAATCCAACTTAAAGAAATGCACTGAATGATTAATTGAATGGTTTAGATCATTTGCTTTTTGAGGTATGAGGTAAGAGCAAAACAAATGTTCAGAGCTGCATTTGTTCACATCATCAGATGATTCAGCAAACTGCAAAACAAGTGGAGGGTTTAAAAAAGGTTCCCCTTGAAAAGTTCTAATTAACATAACACACGAAACACAGCTTAGGTGCATTTAGGTGCACATGGGCATGAATGACTAATTTATTTTTTCCAAAGCTTTTATCACAGTATTGACTTTCTCCTACCTCGGTAACTGCAAACACTAATTAATCAAAGATAAGTCAAAGCAAAGTTGGAAAGTATAAAATTGGAAAAGGGTGGCAGGTGATGGACGAGGTGTTGCCGCTCTTGAAGAGGATGTTCGGCTGCTTTGTCAACTCTATAAACCGCAAGCCGGGTCTGAAGCGTTATTACTCACTGGGCTCGAGGTAATTTAGAAAGAACCAGACACATCAGGTCTAAAAACAGAGATAATCCCACCAACGCTACCATGGACTCTTAATAAGGGTCAGATCACACGTTTGCACTAGTGGAACAAAATCAATCAGTTAGGTTTTAATATAAATGGCAGAGGATCACATCAGTTTAGTCACGGTTAATAAAGAAGCCATGCTTTATTGAATAGAATATCTTACAGTAAATAAATAACTAAATGTTAATGGGTATTTAGAAAGATGGAAGCTGCATACACTTGGCGGTGTTATCCTCCATTTGTACTGTGAATAATAATAGATTCAATTTGTCCGTCTAGCACTGTCCATGTTAAGAACATTGTGTCTGCTTAGATCACCACACACTCAAAGACGACATGGAATTTGCCCGTCTTCCTTCAATTGTTGTTGTGTTGCATAATCTATGAAAATGCCCCTTGAAACCTGTTTTTGTTGAATAATTAGCATTTTGATTTGGTAATGTACTAATTGGTCATGTACATCACATAGCACACGCTGTACACTATATGTTAAATAGGATGCTAAACAAGAGGCAGTTTTCACCATGTTGGTGAGGAAATAAAAACTGCTACGGCTACCTGTTGTCATGCATTCTTCCGAATAATAACAGCTCCTTCAGTTCTACACTCACACACACACACTGACAAGATAATGTTTCTTTGAGCAGACATCTGAAAATTATTTCGATCACACAAGAAATTCAATTTTTAGAGAACAATTTCCTTCACATGAGGAGAGGAGCTGTGATCAGTGTCTTTTCTCAGTGTAATGATTGAAACACTGTCTGTGAAGGACACAGTCTCCAGCAGCGTTTACATATTTGGATTTTTTGTTTACGCAGTTGCATTGATCAGCTCAAATAGGTATCTTTTCACTGTGTGTTTAGCCGTTATAGGTCATCAGCAGCTAAACTGGTTCTATTCCCTGGTAAGATGCCAGGTTGTATTTTGTAGACATGATTGAATACTTTTTGGAGGGCTATCAGGTTTTATGTCATATCAAGATTTAATGACCTGTATTTTAGTTAAGGACGTCCTCATTGATATTACAAGCATCTCTGTGTCCTCAAATTATCAGTAGTCTTTTTCTTAAATACTGTGCTAATAGAGACTACTACTTCCCCTCTGTTCGGGGATAAATAGAAACATAGCACACTGTTAAAATGTTGGAATATAGTCAAGTTATGCAAAATGCAGCACCAAGATTTAAATCATAAATAAATCCCTGTCCCTAAAAAAAGGGAATAGTTAGCCATCAATCTTTTTGTCACAAATTCTAATTTCTAACCCATGACTAACTGAAATGAGTTGACCTCCCTGTTCTGCGACACAATACTCATTTTTAGAGCCCAGCGTGTATCTATTTTTCATCAGATCAGATAGGTTGGAACAGATGATGTGATTGCTTTTATCTGGTTGGATGGCCGCCCATTGTCTGACCACATTTCATTCCCAGCAGCACTGAAATTATTAGCGAAAAGTTTTAAAGATAATACAGCAAAGGATTCATTTCCAGATGAATTCATTTTTATAGATGGAAGTCTGTTTTCACTCACAGGTGTTGTCATTTATTTACTTAATAAGTCTTCACTGTAGACGAGTTTTGCACATAATTGTGCTCTTGAGATTGCTTGCATGAAATGTACACAGGACAACAGTCTGTCTCTGTATCAGGAAGCAAATGTAGATTTTTTTTATAACTTGGGTTATATTGACATGTTTTTTTAATCTTTCAACTGCACTAGACACAGCTTTACACAGGCATCTGATGCCTTGAAACACATACACCAGGTTGGTTTGAAAACACCAAAAAAATCTGACCCAGGTTGTAAAGAAATGAACTTTAAAGTGTTTGTTAAAAAGATAATCTATTTACTGATGTTTTCCTTTTATCCTTAGGGGTCACTACTGTCCTAACCATGACCACCTTGAGCATCAGTGCTAGAAACTCCCTTCCTAAGGTGGCCTATGCCACTGCCATGGACTGGTTCATGGCTGTGTGCTATGCCTTTGTCTTCTCTGCCTTGATTGAGTTTGCCACAGTCAACTACTTCACCAAGCGCAGCTGGGCATGGGATGGGAAAAAAGAGGGCATGGAAATAAGGGTGAGTGATTCTATATATATTTATTTTTTATTTTTTATTTTTTAATGGAGATGACACACGTGCATCAACATTTCACCAACATGTAATCCTAAAACACAAAATGCAACAGTGCAGAAAGGAAAGGAGTCGCTCTCCACTTAAATTCAGCTCATTAAATTCCAGATTAATTTCCCCCCATCTTTTGATTTGATAACCTTTTTAAAAAATGCTCCAAATTGCTCAGTAAGTCCCCATTTTACACCGGAGGAGGGATGAGGGCAAATTGCACTTTGGAAACACTGATAGAAAGTTCCCTCCTTAAAGCAGCCCGGAGTACTCTATAAAGACTATAAAGAGAGATTTTATTTATTCATTAACAGCCAAATGGAACAGGGACAGCGGGGCGGAACAGTGAGAGCAGAAGCTGAGGTAAACTCCCAGAGACACTGGCCCTGATTTATGACGGCAGCATATGTTCAAGTCTCATCCTAAAGTCAGTGTAGGCTCATTTTCTCCAGAAAAGATGGCATCCTTACATCTAGTCTGCATGTTATAGACGCACTGATTAAACAGTGAGTGTGCATTATTTAAAATGAATCACCTGAGGTGAGAGAGACATTTTTATTTTGAAGCATGAAATTAATAAATCACAGTTTACACATTTTTAATTTGTCAATAGTCTGGGGGCTGTTGTTTATGAGAATAAAGGACGGGGAGTACATTTTCATCAAGGTAGGAAAGAAGAAAGACAGATGGAGTACTTTGGCACATAGTCGTTTTTGGGGCTTGACTCAATTTAAGGACTGTGGTTTTACTTCAGCGATGCAGAGGTCTTAACGAGATGCTTTTTCTCTGAAGCTATGATGAAATCACATAAATAAAACCTAATACGTTCCACATGATAACCTCGGCGCTTAAATTTACCATGATTTCTATGATGTTTGATTAAATGAAATAGATTAGTATCAGAGCAGGCAAAGAGAAGCAATGAGGAAAATGAAAGCACTTGCTCCTGTGCTGAATGTATGAAATACTCATGTTTCTCTTGAATTATTTAGCCTATAGCTTCAAAGAGGCTAATTTGTTCCAGTAATGGCAGGAACAAATAAGTTATTTGTGCTATTTTTGGTATGGATCACAATCAGGTGTTGCCACTGTGGTTTGACAGTGCTGAGAAGTAGACTATGAAATCTGTTTTGCTCCAGTCAAAATATATATTTATATTTATACCTATGAATTAATAATGAATGGTTTGATCAGATGGTTTTTTTAAAGATCCGTTAACTCAGCAGGTCCTCGCATGGTGTCGAGAAGATGTCAAAGAATAGCATCAAATCTGAGTTTGTGTACAATTTGCAGAACCCCATGTGGGGTTTACAAAGTCACACTGATTACTGACAGCAAGAGAGCTGCAAACGCCGCCATATATTTGCACTTCAGATGTTAGAAGTGAAGTGAAGTGCAAGAAAAGGTATACCTTCATTACTGACGTATGAACAGTGGCGATATATAAGAGGTCAAATGAAATTTAAAACATTGGACTTGTGGGTGTTAAGTTTGTAAAAACCACAGTCCGTGTGGTAAACAGTAGCTAGGTAAAAGCTGTTATGTTGCTGCTAGCACAGGAATTGCTGGAATGCTTCCATCAGCCACAGACACAACATAGGGCAAAACATATTTCCTCTGCTGCGACAGACAGTGCAACAAATCTATTTTCTGCTACTAATGTACAAACTGTTTGACACAATCAGTGCAGCCTTTCCAGTTTTTTTATAGCTTGACATTTGGTCCTCTGAGTGATTGGCAGAAATGCATATTGCTGCCACAGAACTTTTCAGTCTGTGGGGATAATTTGCAGCGTTCCATTGCAGCAGAGTGGAGGGGTGGGTCCCTCCCCCCGCTTCCTTTTGATGCCTCGTCTTAATGGCAACAGCCTGGGCTGTGTTCTCGGGGGCTGTGCTGAGCATGCAGTTGTCATGATAGATAAAAAAGAATGGGGTCACAGAGGGAGACAATGCACTCCCATCATCACGCTCCCTGCCAGAATGAGCTACTGGAAAGCAGACTACACGTGATTTTTTTTCCCTTTTTTTAACATATTTACAATAAGATGAAAGGATCTACAAGAAGAGAATCTATAAGGACAGAGTGTCTTTCAGGAGAGAAGTTTTAGCTCAGTGAGTCCTTTTTTGAAAATAGCGTCTCCAGTCACCAGAAGCAGGGTTTCAGCCACCACTCTTACTGGAACCAAACGATGACTTCAGCACCCCCAGGCTCCATCTTTTTTAGGACTGAAATGGTGAGCAGTAGACGAGTCAATGTGCACTAATTTACCTCGCTGGTTATGGAGCTTCTGTGCCATTTTCTTCCTTTCTTGTCGCCTAACATTCTGTTTGACAAGCGATCTACCTAATTAGCTCTCCCCTCGCCGGCTGAAGGTGTACTTATTACAGAAATTAGCCGGTGGACAGTTTGGAATGAAAGCCTGCGTATTCTGGGCACTCCATGACACACGATTGGACACTGTGGAAGATATTATGTGCTGGTTTCATCAGCAGAGGCTGGAGCTCTGGCTCGTTGCGCAGTGGGCTTCACTGCTGGAGCACAAGTGACTACATTTACTGACATTTCAATACAATAGTTTGTTAGGAAATGGTGGAGACACAGCCTGTCATCATCATCATCATACCTAGCAGTCACATTCCAGCATGACACTGCTGCTCAATTTACTGAACAACAGGGAGTTGTACAGCGAAGTTTGCACAAAACTTTTTTGGAGCCAAGTTATGAATGGAAATTCTGTGTACTCCGATGGAAAAAACAAACCGTAGCTGCCATTTCTAGAGGCTTGTTTTCAACGCCTTTGTTGTTTGATTTGTTGTTGGATTTGGTTTCCTCTAACTGCTGTGACAATGAATAACCTTTGTAATACAGCAAGATGAAGTGGTTGTATCTGACTGACGATCCTAAACTAGCTGAAATCTGTTGCGTATTAGCACCACCAAGCCTGGATGCAGAGACTTGCAGTATAACAAATGGGGTTGTTTGAGATCTGGTGAAAAGCAGATATATGTTTGCTGCTGTTTTAGGAAGTCTGAGCGGGAAAAAGAGGAAATGAAAAGGATAAACTCTACAAGTACAAGGAAAGAAGGAGTTTTCGGAGGAACCAGTGTTTGCTTTGATTCTGGATTACAAAAACACTCACACAACCTGCAGTGATGTGATCCAGCTCAGGCCTCTACAACTACCAGGTTTACAGGAAATTTGGTAGTGCTAGTGCCACTTAAAAAAAAGGCACACACACACAAACAGCTCATACACCCACATGCTCACAGACTTGAGGCTATTAAATATGCCAACACCTCATCTCCAATCTTAGACAGGGACAGACTGTCACAAGGTTCGGTTACACGCACACATGCACACACTGAGCTCCAAACAGCAGGACACAGCGAGGCACAATTACCCCCAGGACATTTAATCACACTCACAAAGAAATTCTGATGCAACAATTTTCAGAAGTAACAAAGACAAGGTCAATAGATGCATTGTATTCGGGGGGGGGGGTATTTGCGCCCGCAGCTAGCCAAATGACTTTGAATAGTGCGCAAAAATCTTTGGCCAGAAGCAAATTATGTGCTGTGTCACATTAGTTTCACATTTAGTTTAAAAACATGCACACAGCCCAATGCCACACGCGGTTTCCCAATAATTAGAGCATATAAATACGGCAGAGGACAGCCCAGCTAAATAGCCATAGAAAATGACTTTGCTTGGCCCGTTTGTCAGGTTGCTTGGCAAAGAACCTCCTCAGTGCCAAGGACTGAAGAGTTTAGCGGGCTATGATTAAGGTCATATGACACGTTCTAGCAGTCATTGGCTTTTCCTGCTGATGTTAGCCTTCGCTGTGATAGAGGAGGCTCGTGGTGGTGTTAGATGTGGAGCAATCGATATCCTGGGAAAGGATCTGGTTATCCAGAGGCTATCAGTGCGACTCTTTCTCTCCCCGTACTAATTGACTTGAGATAGACTCCTTCAGGCAGCGGCTCACCATTTCTCTGTTTAATGCAATCAACTGTCTGCCAGCTTTGTTAGCTCTCCACAACCCTTGCCGTCTTTGCAGAGGAGCTTGAAGGATCATCCTCCTCCTGTTGTCCAGCTCCCTCGAGGAGGAACAACACTGATCACACTGAATGTGTCGCCTCCTCAATCCTTCTGCCTCCATCACCTCGGACAGATAGTCTGAAGCTCATCAACCACTTAATCAGTGTGATACCTGCTGCTGTTATTCCACTGCTGGTCACATGTGACATTAAGAAGTGCTTACGTTTTTTTATGCTTCCATTTTGAGAGTGAAGAGATGTGAATATTGGGGATACAGACCAAACAAAACATTTGGTGATGAGCGGTGTGCGGAAGGAGATCCGCCGTGAAGCATTTTAGAGGAGGGGAAAGAGGGGACATTAGTTATGCTAATTAAAACGATGGAGTCAAAGGGAAAGGAAGGAAAATTAAATGAAGCTGAAAAAGTAGAGCAGAAATTAAAGCTGGGCTCAAAGCAAAAGTGAAAACAGGGAGCAGTGAAAGTGAAACGCTGTTACGTGACGCACACTGCTTTAGTTCTTCAAGTGGCCACAGTGGGGATGAACGGTGTGAAGACAATGACCCCGGTACAGGCTCGCATGCCACACTGGAAACTAAAACTCTGCCTGGTGATCCATCTTGGTGCCCTACTTGTTCTCTCACATTTAGCGCATGCATTGCACTGTACTCTTTCAGGCTGACAGGATCCTCTGGTGATGCAAGTTTAGCTATCCGAGTGCACCAATTTAGCAAATCAAATCCTGTCTCCCTGTGCGACTTCAATATGATAGACAGCCTAATGATTTCTCTCTAGTAGAAGGAAGAAGGCAGTTTCTCCAGCCAGCTTTATCACACACAGCCTTTGTCGTGTTTGTTTTATTGCAAGCTGTTTGCCTGAAGAGGCCTGGCTGCTCTCATTGATACAGTTTGTCAGACATGTTTTCAGGCACCGTTCTTTTGCTTTGTTTCTAATCCTGCTCTGTGCTGCTACTGCTACTGTTAGCAGTATCAGACGCCAGTCCAGCCTGGTTCTGCAATGATGTAAAATAGAATTGTTCCTATTTCCGCACTCCTAATTTTAGCAGCCTGATCATTTTCGTCATGAATTTTTATCATGACATTTTTTCTGCAATCCAGATTTGTATGATGCAGATTTGAATTGACAATATTAATAGTGTAAAATGTTCAAAAGTACTTCCAGCTAGATACTGATGAATAGAGTATGTAAGTTGGGTAATTTTAATATAATTGGTAAACTTTTTTTCTTTTCTACTTTTCTTTTCAGGAACCGTTTCAGGCTAACATGGCCAGGATTAAAGATATGGTTAGGCTTTTGTTTTGTTCTTGTGTGTGTCGTGTCTCGTGGTGTTGCTTCTATTTCCTCTTTATGAGTTCAAATGGAAGTATTGTTGAGTCTGGTGCTTCGCTCCTGACAACCTTTACTTTACTGCCTTCTTCCTTTACAGAGAAGAGAATCTGCGACTCTGTCCAAAAAGGCAAACAACACCTTCAACATTGTCGGAACCACCTACGCCATCAACGTAGCTAAAGACCAAGGTTTAACGACCATCTCCAAGAGTGCCGCCGGAGCATCGGCCAAACTACCCTATCTCCACAAAATGGAAGACCCCTACACGGAGGCCAGGAAGTCCTACAACCGCGTCAGCAAAGTGGACAAGATATCGCGCATCATTTTCCCAGTTCTGTTCTTCATCTTCAACTTAGGCTACTGGGCCACATATGTCAACAGAAAGCCCGCTATCATGAAGGCAAACAACCTAAACTGAATTTGACCAAATTCTAGGCATGATCTGGTTTGTTTCGGAGGTTAGACAGGTTTTGCAAGAGGCCAAGTCCATTACATCTTATTGTGTGTGTGTGTGTG